AGCCTTCAAGCCTAGGTCGCCGCTGGCGGTGAACAAGGCTGAGAGCACAATCTAGGGTGTGGAGGGTGGGGCTGAACATTGTACTCTAGAACCAAAATGGCACGCAGAACATGAAACATCACAAAACAACATGTGAAAATCACATTGTACGTTCTAGAGATGTTACAATGTTCAGGAAAAGGTCATGCTCCCAAGCAGACTAGATGCCCAACACACTTTTCTCTCACTGCTATTGTTGCTTCAGAGGTTGTTGGGACAATTATCACCAAACAGCATTCCAACAACACTCGGTACAGGTCTCCCTAGGCGCTCTGAGTGGCAGTGGAATGAAAAGTGCAGAGTTCAATGGTTACCAAGCGACCATTGGACCGGAAATGTTTCCGGATGAATCTGGGCTGGTGAAACGAGAAGAACTGCTCGAGGCTCATTCGATGCCTCGTGTCTGCTGCGAACTTGACGGGCAAGGAATCATGAAAGTTCCAACAGTTGAGGAGGTCAGCATTGGTGTTCAAAATTCCAGGGATATGCGAAATATCACAGCTGACTCGCGCCGAGACTAGAATATGTGCCAAATGTTCGACAAAGTAGCACAACGGGGCTGAGGTGGTAAACAGCTTGTTACTACTAGCCTCTGTAGCAGCATTGTCACTGAGACTTTTGAAGTGCAGGGGAACGCATGCGTGAGGACACAATGCTACACACAAAAGTACGAGGAAAGCTTGAGCGAGGGTTTCATAACATGCAATATCACGCTGAGCTTCTGATCTAACGGGGACGTCGAACTTCTTAATTTCGTGGACACGCCACTGCTCAGCGAACCAAAAGATTTGTTGCTTGGGTGCAACGAAACCGCCGACTTGAAACAGGTCCCCTGGGGCAGAGGCGTCGGCTGCTGCCTGAATAGGTGCCTGAAAGGATGGGCGCATGGTTCGAAGAGGCGTTGAGACGGTCAACCATTGAAGCCACAACTTCAGTACACGTCGACTGTGAACAGACAGTTTTCTTTGTTGAGAACTAGGATTTACAATCCGAAGCCACAATCGTCTATCAGTCAATCTAACGGCCTCAACTTCCTGCAAGGTTTGGGCGGGAGTGTGTCGAACGGAGAGGAGTTTAGAATGCTTGGGAATTGCTGTTCCGGAAGGACTACTGATGAAGGTGAGGTCATCCGAGAGACACGACTTCACTAATGTCCAGTATCCTGGGCCGACACTATAGTGAGTGGCAGGACAAGTGCGCAGGTCAGAGAATAGCCAACGCAGCAAAGCCCGAAAGGGAAGGAACAACTGAGTGATCCACAATGCGAGGCCGGTAAAGCGCTCCAGCTGTTTGCTAGAGCAATGACGATGGTTGAGAAGTTCCTCTATTTGGGCAATGAGTTTGTTTTGTTTGTCAGGATGAAGGCTGACAAGACCATTGAAGAAGTTGAATCGCCATCCGATCCAATCCACCATGGGCCCAAGGGTGCACTTTTTCCAACTGAGAGGAATACGAAACACTCGACAGAAGAGGGCAAGAAGAGTGGCAAACAACGGAAGGATGGACTTCGGTTGAGTGAGCAAGAAATCGTCAACAAACAGCCATAAGCCGTGTTGGGCCCAAATCAGGCGATGCCATACTCGAACAAGCCATGCTCCGAGTCGACCCCACCAAAAGGCACTAAAGGTAGCTCCAAAGGGACAAACCCTATAGAAGAAAAGTCGACCTTGAAAGGTGAATCCGACTAATCCTTGATGGCGTTCGGATAGGACAATTTTCTTGTGAGCTGATTTAATGTCGAACGTGGCAGCATGCTGAGGCTCCGAACACTGTCGAAGAGGCAAACTCTCAACGACGTCTCGAGCTGACGGATAGCACTGGCATTCTGGGATAGTGCAATTCTGATTTGCGTTGCAGACACTACTGTCGAGTACCAATCTGGGAGGCCGCGAATCAGAGAATGCAATTCCCAATTTACCCAATCCAACTCCTTGGGGGTATGCTTGTTGGGCATCAGTTTCATCTCCATCAAACTCAAAAACCCATCCTTGATCGATCTCATTTTGGATGAGTTCCCACGTGAGTTCAGGGTGGTCTTCACTGGATTTCCAATTACCTCTATGGATTTGCAAAGAAGGAGGGTCGGTATCAGAGTTAAGATCTTGTTCCCAAAAGACCTGACTTGCACGTATCGGGTCATCCGAGGTGCCGGCTGATACTCCTGCAATTAAGCAGGGAAAGACCTGAGAATCCGGGTCATGAATGTGCTGGCTCAGGTGGTGGAGGGCATTCAGGCACATAGGTTGGTGAGGTCGTACTGACCAATCAGTTGGAATCCAGGAAGAAAACGCTTCCCGAAACTTATCAATGCATTCCTCCGAAAACGGGGGATCTGGGTTTTGCTGCTCCATGTGAGCAACAAACTCTTTGTGCAAATTCTGTTCCACAATCAAAGCGATCCAGCGGTCACGAAGGGGTTTGAGAACATCCGGAACATTCGGAGGAAAACTCCAGTCTGGTTGGCTACCTCGTCCACCACCATCATGCAACGCGTGACAGGAATCAAACTGAGGGCATGCTCTAGAGTCAACTCTGGGATGTGCACGGGGCCGATGTGGGCACTCAACTTGTGGGACAACACAGTAGCCAAATCTTTGGGATATTCAGCAGTTTTTCGGCTGAGGTATGTGCCCGACTCATCTCGAATACCTGCATACGGAGCATGGTTCGAATGAGGGCACTGACTGGCATGTTCCACGAACCAATCGTGACTGCAGGCAAACATCCAGTGCTTTGATATGTTCAAAGAAAACTGACATGCAGCTAGAACTACACAATGACATGCCTGCTGATTTACCCAGGATTTGACGACCGGATCATACCAAGTAAATGCGTTGGGTGGAGATTCGAGGTGGCCGTGGCCCCCCGCGGCGAAGGTGTGCTGTAAGCAACACACCGCACGATGCAAGAGTTCGCGGCTGCGTTGGATCCGGTCTTGCTCGGTGGGTGTGGGATTGGGAATGCCTAAGGGAAACTCGTGCGTTCGTGAAAATTCACTGCATGGAGGACTAGCTCCACAGTAGGCAACAAGGCCCGAAGCACATAAGCGCAACAAGTTCTCAAAATACATGTCATTGAGAAGGTCCATTGCGGGTGAAATCAACAGGTCAACTG